GAGAGAGAGAGAGAGAGAGAGAGAGAGAGAGAGAGAGAGAGAGAGAGAGAGAGAGAGAGAGAGAGAGAGAGAGAGAGAGAGAGAGAGAGAAAGAAAGAAAGAAGAGAGAGGAAGAGAGAGAGAGAGAGAGAGAGAGAGAGAGAGAGAGAGAGAGAGAGAGAGAGAAGAGAGAGAGAGAGAGATGAGAGAGAAGAGAGAGAGAGAGAGAGAGAGAGAGAGAGAGAGAGAGAGAGAGAGAGAGAGAGAGAGAGAGAGAGAAAGAAAGAAAGAAAGAAAGAAAGAAAGAGAGAAAGAGAAAGAGAAAGAGAGAGAAAAAGACTGCTTGGTTTATCGAGAGCTCTAAATCAACATGATTAGCCTCATTGCAATCAGCCGTCATCATGGACTCAGCATGGCCCCACCTTCACGAACGGATCAGCTGACTCCTTCTCGTCCATCCACTGCAGGGAGCGCGCCTTCACCACGACCACCGTCAGTCTCTCGGCCGTGGGTAAGTACGAGAGAGAGAACATGATCTCGCCGTAGCCTACGCCTTTCTGTGGAATTATAACTTGTATTTAATCTATTTGAAAGAAAAGTGTTAGCAAAAGGTAAGAAGAAAATATGAGTAAAAAAAAGAGACATTACAGAGTGAAAAAGGGGGGTTGAATTGAAATACGAGGTAGGTAAAATTCGAGGTGACTAAAAAAATGAGAAAGAGCTTAACTGGTAAAAGAGGTGTATAAAAAAGGAGACAAGGTGGTAAGTAGAATAAGAAGGGAGGTGGGTGAAAAGTACGATAATAATACAGTTCTTTTCAGTCTCTTTACCAAGACTCCCTCCACTTACTCCAGGCCCATTCTATCATCAACAAAATTATTTCCCAAGTTCACCTCTTATAAAGAACAACCACATGCACAGTTAAACAAATGATAGCTTTAAAGAACAAACACTGAAATTGAAAGCCTATGCTCTCCCTTTCCTTCGGTTTTCTCCCTCCCCTCTTTCCTTTCCTTCCATCCTTTCTCTTCTTCCCCTCTCTCCTTTCCCTCATACTCATCCTTCCTCTCCCTCCCCTCCCTTCTTTCCCTAGTACCTTAGAAGCAGTGAGGAGGAGGAAAGGTGGGAATTGGATGGAGAGATGGAGGAGGAGGGGTAGGGAGAGGGAAAGGAGCTCGAAAGGGACTAGGGGAGGGAGGAACTCAACATGACTAAATACACATTTTATGCGAGGGCCTCTCGGATTATTCCTCGGTCTAACTGCACCTCTGACAACTGAGCTTGGGTGGATTGGGTTCCAGCTACATTCGCGCACGCACACACCCATACACTCATTCTCACTATTACTAGTATCTAAGGTTTTACCCTGCATGTTGGGTTAAGCCTTGGGTTAAGCCCCGGTTCCTTCTCTTCTCCTTTAATTCATTTTCCTCCATTCCTCATCCTTCCCCTATCTCCATTTTTTCCTTCCTACTCTTCTTTCCAAACTTTCGAACTTTCTTTTCTTGAAGATAAACAAACGCGTATATTTACGAACACGAACGCGGTCGCACTCGCAATCACGCGTCCATGCACACACCTTCCACTTCCTCCCCTCTCCCTCCCCCAACGCCCACCACCTAACACCCGTCCCCATGCGCTCTCCCTCCCCAATCCCCCAGACTCTCTACCC